TGGCCACGTGGAGTTTTCCGGGTTTTCTCCGTCTATAATGTTTGAATAGGGGCCAGCTACCCTTAAAAAAGACCTCCCGGAGGGTATCCCCCTAGGTAGATCGCTCAAGTGCTGCGTTGCCATAACTTAATAAAATAAAATGGGAAAAAAGATGAAAAGATATTCCTTTCTCTTTACAATCCCGTTATTGATTATTATTATTAGTACAGTAATACCCCGAACTTACGCGATAGGTGGGACCGAATGGTAACCGCGTAAGTCGGAGTATAATTTCGCAATTTGTGTAAAATCCAAGTCGGATGTATGTAAGCTAATAAATGTTCTCGTTAATCTTATCTCGTCTTTTGATTCGTTCACAGTTACAAGAAATCACCACATAGAGTCTCTCAAGTCTCCGTAGATATAACAAACAGAACAGTTACTGACCTTACAATAATTAGGAACAAACAGAAATAAACAACACAAAATAAATTGTAGCTATGTGTCGATTCCGCGCGATACGTCCGAACATGTAAGCTGAACAATAGTGTTGGGGGAGTGAGTAATCAAGGGCTGCGTGGCGCTCAAACAAAAGACGAATCGACGAAATTTGAAAATCGCGTAACTCCCGGTTCGCGTAAGTCGAAGCATTACTATATATCCACAGGCACAACATAAACTGGTCTGATCATGTGGGCGCTGAAGAGAGCAGCAGCAAGAGAAGTTCGGTGGCCTGTTTGTTATCTACACCATTATACTGTATTGTATCACTAATCAAAGAACTTTGTGCATAGTGTAAGTTATTTCCTGGATTTTTGTAAGATACTTGTCATCTGGTCTCCTCTGCCACACCCACACGCGAACATCCCTATATCATCCTAACGCGGGATTAACGAGCCTCCCCTAAAAGTCAGCAAACTTACACTGGTGTCCAATAAGTGGGATTTTAAGTCCCCAATGGTCACCAGGTCCGCGAACTTACATATAGCAGCAGCACTCCTAGTGAGCAAAACTAGTTCTAGACAGAAAATTCTGCTCTGCTCCCCTCCATATTAGCTATGCCAATAATGATATATCAAACAGAACCGATAAATTTTTACAGTATTGATACCAATATTTTAGATTTTAGAATGTCGATGTACAGAAACAGATTGAATGCCAACTTTCATCAACAACGTTGAATAATGGTATTTGTTGTCAATGAAAAACAACTTACTCCTTAGACAGTCAGTTGGCCAAGAAGTTAAGTAAAAGCCTACCACTTTGGGACACCTGAAATCTCATTCAGATGGTTTGAAAAATCCCAGGAATATTTAATATTTCGGATCCCATCCCTTATCTTTCAGCTGCCCTATTGTGGGCCTGTCTGAAACCATAATGGGCCTGATAAGAAAAGGCCCTCTTAGTGCCTATTGGGTGAAAAGTTAAAAAACCTAACTAAAAAAAACAAAAATAGCTCTTTCAACATGATAATTTTCCAAGCAATCAGATTTTACTAGTACAGATTCCAGATAGTTGAATAAAAGTTGCAAAAATATGACCCATTTGATTGCCGAAGTAGACCAAAGTTGTCCAATTGCAAATCACATAGAATTTTTAATTTGTAGACATTAAACATAATATTACATAATTAATTAAAATTTTTTAATGACAAAAAATACTCTCAACAATAAATTTTAATTTAAAAAGTATCTTTTATTTAAGCAAAATCTATTTAAAAATGGTAAAGATTGATAATTAATATGAGTCATATTACAGTTGTAGTGTTTAAAAATTTTCAACAAAAAATGTTAAAAAATTCAAATGTAAATGTTATACAGAGTACATCAAAACAAAAATGTCTAAGTTATAAAATAGCAACCTGTAAATATTGGTAATAATTTGACATATAAGTAAACTGCATCAACAAGTATCAAAATCTTCAAACATATGTTATACAAAGGGTCAATAATGATTAAATATTTGACCTATAAAATGACAACTAGCAGTACCTCTTACTTAGAATGGTAAATTTGAGTGAAATTTGACATGTAATTCAAACAATGCTTCTACATTTGAACTGTGCATACAGTGAAAAAAAAAAATGTATTTGCTGTATAAACACTACCTGTTGTGGGCCCAAGTTCCCTTTCACTCTCACTGTGAAAGCATCTTTTGTATTACACTCATATTCTCACTGAATTTTTCACTTTACTTTTGGTGTTTGGTTATATATATATAACCACTATCAGTAACCATTGCATTCAAGAGGAGTGTGAAATCAACAAAGCCTAAAGGCAAGATTTTAGTATCAACAATTGAGGTGAAAAGGTGATCATGAAGCAAGAAAGCATGGGTACGAGATAAGGAAAGGATGTCTACTATATTTTAATTATTTAGAAATTAATTAGTGAAATGTGACAAGTTGTGATTGTTCTGGAGTGATTTTGGGTGGAGAATGGCAGTTTTGTGTTTTTTTCTTGACAAGGTTAACATTTCTGTATTTCTGTCTAGCCTACATGACTATGCTGGCTTCAAGTAGCCCATCTGACTATTCATGGAGTATTTAATGTTATATTGTTGGAAGTGTGACAACTTACACCCACCTATGAGCTGAAGTACTCACTGTTGCTCACACCTCAGTGCAAAACATGGAGAACAGGCAGTAGTACTGGTTTGTGCAAGTGTCATTCCCCAACCAGAATCACCACCACTTGTCATATTTTGCCTAATTACCCCATAAGTAATTAAAAAAACAATAGTAGGATCAATTTTCAAACTGTAAAAAGATATAAACCGTAACTGTATATTTAAATATTCATTCTTGCACAAGCTTTGTATTCTATTTAGAAAGCTATCTTGAAGAAGACATTTTGTAATGTTAGAAACATTTGAATAAAATATGTTTTTATTGAATGTTTAGGTTTTATCTCTCTCACACTTGAAAAAAACTAATTTCTTTTAGATTAGTTTACATATATTTAATGACAATCTTGTCATAATATGCATCAATTGCCACTGTCTATCTGGGGACAATTAAAAAGAGAATAAAGACATTTTTTAAAGTGAATATTGTTAAATAAAGGCATTTTTTTTTAATCTCCAATTTGTTTTAGTTCCCAGATAGACAGTGGAATCGATGCATATTACAAAAAGATTGTCATATTAAATATATGTAAACTAATTTAAAATATTTATTAGCCTCCCTGTAAATATAAGGCAACTTTATTATTTGTCTTATTTATTCTATTTTAAGAAATATTATTAACAATATTCTCTTGTATAAACTAATTTCTGTTTACTGATATCATTGAAATACTTCTGTTATGGTAATTTTCCAATAGTTTATTATTCAAATGCAATAAATTTCAATTGGCTACATTTTCTAGAAGATACAATAGTATCAAACTAAAAATCATTAACAGTTCCACTTCAGCTTCTGGTTAATTTGATTTTTTAGTATTGAAAATCAGGCATAAGTGTATTTAATATTATTTCATATGAAATTATCATAAACATTTATATTTTGATTTAAAAACATATTACAGCAGCTGTCAAATTTTTATACAACTAATATTTATGTGTAGATTATGAATATAAATAAAAGAGTATGTTAAAAAACTCTGGCTAAATTGTATCTATTTTAAATGTGTAAACATTATATAAGTTTAATATTAACACAACCACAGATAAAACTGGAAATAATTTATTTTTTGTATCACAATATCACAGATAAAATAGCAATGAAAAATAAAAGTACAAGATAAAAATTTTCCACTCTAAAAAATTTTGTATTTGAAATCTTACTTCTTCAAAGTATTGACAATATTCATGTTAATATACTGAACATAAAGTATTCATATTAATAAAATAATCTTTATTTATATTTATATTTTTTGAATTCAACTTTAATTTAATACAAATTATTAAAATTAAATAATCTATATGCTATTTGTAACAATAAACAATTAATGTAACCATAGATTATTTAATTTCCACAATAAAATAAAATTCAATGAAATAAAACCAGATCATGTAAAACTTTTTCAAAAATCAATTAAATAATATGGTTTGAGAATTACTATAAATGTTTCTATCTATATTATGGCACCACATCATATTAAAACATATTTTTGTAAAATTTTACAACTTTCCAAAATTTTTCTTTAATTGCATAATCTCTTTGTTTTTTTCAGAAAGAAGATGCTTTAATTCAATAATTTCTTTCTGTAAGTTTTCTATTATCTGAAAAAAATATTTACATTCAATATTTTATTATTTCAACTGCTCTTTAGTAAAATTTTATTATTACCTGAGTTTTATTAAGGAAAAGATTGGAATTAAGAATTTCTCTTGCTGAAGGACGGAGTTGTGGTTCTTTGCTTATAAGTTTTGCTATGAAGGAAACCTTTGCAATCAAAAATAAATTACTATTATTATCCATGTTTTGGTATCCAAGTTTATTGGTTTGTATATAACTATCAAAATTAATACACAAATGAAACCAATTGATTAATATAATTGAATAATTCTGATTATTATCTTTAGTTGTCAATTAAGTTTAATTAATAAATTTTGATTACAGATGCATTCAGCATTAATATATAATTGTCATAACATTATAGGTTTTGAACATGTTGATACAGTAGAGTGTCATTTATCTGAAAGCTGATCAACCAAAATGTCAGTTAACCAAAGGTGTTCCAGCCGACTGTGTCATGCTGAATCAAATATTTTTGATACTAGATTAACTTCCAAAATATAATGTTTTTGTTTTTATATTTTTCAATGTATTTATTTTGTTTATAGAAAACAAAAAATAATTTTTAATAATACAATAGTCACAATTATTATTTTAAAAAATTTACATTAGGCTTAACATCAACAAAAATTCAATGCAAAGCGACATGCAACGATGAAAAATTTCAACATGGGATAGGTTAATATATTTTTTCATACATAATCAGTTATCCAAACAAGTCCAGTGCCCAATTTATCCGGATAAACAACGCTCTACTGTAATTATTTTTTCTAAGTTTTAATAATAAAAACATTTTTATTATATAAAAATGTTATTACTATTAAAACTTAGAAAAAATATTTATATGTAAAGAATTATTAGAAAAAATTTTTTAAATGTAATAACATTTTTATTATATAAAAATGTTATTACATAT